TCCAGTACTGAAGTCTTCAAATCATTTACTTCCATATCCCTGGGACATTTTGTTCGAAAAATATCTTTGCTGTCAAATATAAGCCCAAAACCAGTGCAATAGTAACTGATAAGCCTAACAAAATAAAAGAAAAGGGAAAATCATGGAGGCCTAATTTAATGAATAATTTCAATACTACACTCATGAGATTCACCGAGAACTGATTTTAAATTACTTTTGAGAAAATTCTCCTATTTCATGTTCTAATTCATTACACAGGCTAAAACTTACATGTGCTTCTGTACTTTTCAATTTAATTCATCAGTGTACTTTTATTCCGAAAATTAGCATGTGTCACACTTCGGTTAACAGGACTTCACTTGATATTTCAATGCCAGTTTACTACCCTAACTATTTTAAACAGGTTTTAAAATATAGCCTGATTTATCCAAATATGTGAAAATATCAAATATTTATTCTGACGGATAGGTTTTCCTTTACACTTGATTTTTTGATGTTTAGATTCTTTGTTAGATTGAAACCTTTAATTTGAATTAAAAAATTCATATTTGTTTTAAAAGACAATTGTGATTGAGAAAGTTTTTGTACAGAAATTAGATATCCATAACATTTCTGCACAATCAATGGATGCAGGGAGTCTCCATAATTTTTTAGCATCTAATATATTCAGAGTTGAAATTGTCAATTTAGAAAATTATTTCTAGTTCTTTTATGGTTTCAAACTAGGTTTGCAAATGAAAACGAATATGGCACTGTCTAAATAAAACTGCAGATTGACTAAAGAAGTGGCAAAATCCTCATCCACGCAAAATCAAGGCGTTCACTTTCAAAAAGCACACTGTGTAGAGAAGGGAAGGGTATCATGGTCTCCAACTGGTACAGTCACTAGAACTGCAATAGTAAAGGCAGACTGGGTTTGGTACTCCTCAGTACAAGTAGTTCAGGGTCAAGTTATCCATTCTGTTCCCTCCATTGGTCTGTCCACAAACCAATCCTCTCTACTACCAGAGAGTAGTGCTTCACAGTACACACTGATAGTGCACAGGGAAAACATGTCTGGCCTCTCCATTGTGTGCCTCAAACAATGAACTGCTGCATTTTGAACACTATTTACATGTATATGGGCCTGGAAAGGTATCTACTACTCAATCTCAACTGCTTGACTCTGAATACTAATTTAAAAATACACAAAAGACTTCATTATGAAACAGCTGAGGCTGTCACACCTTTCCCCCATTTGCACTTTTGGGCACACCCTTTAACCAGATGATTTTTTGCCCCAATGCTAGTTTAGTAAAGAACTGCCTGCAGAATGGCAGTTAAACAGATTAATGAAAGGCTGACATTAGCAGAGTTAAGGTTGTGGTGAATGGTCTCTCAGTTGTGGTAATGGTAAACTGTGTGTTTTTGTGGGTGGAGGAGTAAAGGGTTACACGGCTAGGTGGCTCATCTTTTCATTTTCTTGCTCTTAACGGTTTGTCAAGCATATGTGTGTAGCAACTGTAACTGCTTCACTACAAAGATTTTTGTATATTGATTTCCTTGGTTTATTTAATACATAATTGAGGGGTAAAGCTTAGAAGCAGAAGTGAGATTTTTTTGTTTTGGGTGCACCAGCAGCTGTGCATTAGCCTTCTCTGTTGTAGAATAAAATCCAACAGAAATGTGTAGCTCCTCAGAGAAGATTGTAAAAAGAACAGGAGTACTTGTGGCACCTTAGAGACTAACACATTTATTAGAGCATAAGCTTTCATGGAAAGCTTCCATGAAAGCTTATGCTCTAATAAATGTGTTAGTCTCTAAGGTGCCACAAGTACTCCTGTTCTTTTTGTGGATACAGACTAACACGGCTGCTACTCTGAGAGAAGATTGTGTGCGCCTTGCTCCCAACCACCTGGCCTGTGGCACAATGAATAACTTGTAGGTCCAAGGAAGGAAAGAAGTGAAACAAAAATTCTCACAAAGTCAGAGATTCTGATTTTTAATCAAGCCTGTACTGATTTTAACAAAAGATGCCTTAAGATTTCTACTGCCTCTGATTAAGAACCTGTGAAGAGAAAAGGTTATAATGGAAATCCGCATGTATACATAGACCCAGCATTCTTAAATTTGGGGCAATTTGACTGGGCTAAATAAACTCAAAATCTATAAACTGTACTCACATTTTGGTTGTTTAGTACTAAATGTTACATTCTATAGGAAAATGGGAATTGTCCTACTGGATCAGGCCTGAGGTCCACCTAATCTATTCTACTGTCTCCTTCCTCAGTGTCCAGCACCAGGTGTCTCAGAGGAAAGTGGAAGAACCCCATAGCAAGCAGATGTGGGATAATTTGCCACGCACACTAGGTCTCGTCCTAATCTCCAATAGCTACAGACTGATTTATACCCTGAAGAATGAGGTTCAATAACCTTTCCACAAATTTGTGTTATGTTAACTCTGGTTATTCTTGATATCCATACAAATGTCTATTCCCTTTTCTTCAGTCTCATTAAGTTCTTTGCCTCAATCACTTCCTGTGGCATTGAGTTCCACAGTTGAGTTAAATGCGGTGTGAACAAATTTACCTTTGGTTTTGAATGTTCTCTTCTTGGATTATGAAATGAGAATAGACATTTCCATTCTTCATTTTATATACTTTTCTAAACTAAACCCCGGTCTTTTCAATCCTCATATAAGAGTTTTTTCTATGTTCTTGATCATTCATTGCTCTTTTCTGACCTTCCCCTAGTTCTTCAATATTTTTGAGACAGGGTGACCAGTACTGCACACAGCATTCCAGATGAAGCCACATTATTGATTTATAGGGGCATTTTACATCTTTTGTATTACTTATCATCTCTTTCCTTATGCACCCTACATTGGTTCATAACTGCAGCTGCCTATTGATAAGACATCTTCATTGAGCTGTCTACAATGACACCCAGGTTCCCTTTCTTGAGTTGATCCAGTTCATTTACAACCGTGTAAGATATACAATTAGTTTACATTTCTCTCTCCCAACACACATTATTCTTCAAGAGAATATCACTCTGAAAGAGAATATTCACCTCCTTTGAGACAGACTAGGTAGGATTTGAACCTGTGACCACTTCTGTACAAAAGCACAAGACTATACTACTCCAATAAGCTATTGCATCAAGTATAGAGTGCTAGCACCGTACTATTTTAGATGTACAACTATTTTATATATACATCATGGAAGAGACACTAAACAAAATAAAACATATCTAATTGTGTTCATGTGATGAGTTTAAGGAATGTGGGAATCTGTAATTCAGAACACAAATACTATTAGTGGGTGGCCCTCAAGGTCTCATTCATAAAATATTTTTAAAAAATGAGTTTTCTTTTAGTTTAGAGATTTAAACAGTGTAGATCATGAATGAAAGATAAGGACATCAAAACAATAAATAATCAGAATCAGATTTTTTAGTAATTTAAATTAATTTTGGCATTTAGTCCTCACCAGAATTTTTACACCACCCACAACTTATCACCCTCTTTTACTGAGCTGGAGCACATGATCCGGTTCATTTTAAACTCCTTTCTCCTAATCTAACCACTCGCTTTTAGGTGTCTAAAAAGTAACACCAACACCTCCTGATTAAGTGTACACAAGCTCCTGAAATTAATCCCACTTTTGATTTGCAGAAAGTTGACATACATGTCCTTGTTGGTTTTAAACTACAATAATGCACTCTGACTCTTCACTGAGGCAACAGTGAACCCATGAGGTGGTATGGCTTTCTGGAAATGATACTTTACTCTACTTAAAGCATCTTTCAGGGAACTCAAAGAACTTCACAAATGTCAAGGCCATGAACACATTATGGTGGATGCAGCGACAGCAACAATTCATGGTACACAGCTGTTGCAACTACGGTTCCCCAGTGGATACTTTTCTAGGAACTATACTAGGCAAAGGTTGCTAAATTATCCCATTTAGCTACACTGGTAGCACTACTTGCAACTGTGTAACATAGCTCTCAGATGAGTCCCAGTTCCCACTGGTCACAGAAGTAGTGCTGGAATTTTTGCTTCCACACATTGCTAGTGGGAATCTACTGCCTTAGCACAACCTAGCCAGTATTACATAGTTTTAAAATTGCATTTTTCACTAGTAGATGCCATGTGCTTTACAAAGATATACAGGTACTCTATTTTTGCAAATTAGGAAACAAGCATAGCGTTATTTAATTATTTGAATAAGGTCACTGAGCCAGTAGCATCATCAGGAATAAAATACTGATTTCCTGTTTCCTAGTATTTCCCAGGATTGCTGGAGTTCCCATGCTTTGGATGGACTTCACTGTAAAGCTTTTAGAAGTGATATACTTCCTTGCCAGTAGCCAATGTTACCCCAGGAGCTCAGCAACGTAGCCTCCCCAACCCAGTAAGTTGAGACCTCTGAAATACATATTAACCCCATACTAATACTACGATCCCACGACAACACGCGCAGAGCCTCCCTGAGTTGGATAAGCATAATTACCCTATTCCCAGCACTGCACGGGCACAAGCCCAAGCCCAGCAGGAGTCGATGGCGCTGAAGTTGCCATTCCACATCGTATCTCGGGAGCACGGCGACTGCCCTCCGGCCCATCCCCCATCCCCAGCCTGCAACGTTAACCCCGGGGCGTGCCCCCAGCACAGAGCCCCCCGCTGCAGGGGAAGAACAGGCTTGGAGCGATGCAGGGAGATGCCCAGCACGCGGGGCAGGGGCAGCCCTTGAGAGAAACCCCCCGGTGCCTTCAGGCAGCAGCAGCGGCGACAGCCACAGGGCGGTGCCAGGCACCCCCGGGAGGGATGACGGGGCGGTTGCGGGGAGGCAGAATCCGCCTTACCCCCGGGGGCGGCTGAGGGGCTGCTCAGCGCCCGGAGGCGGGACGGGCCGGGGGAGGATCCCCGCCCCCAGCAGCGGGGGCCAAGGGCGGCGGTCCGGGGGAGGCGGTGCCAGCCCGCGGGGCCGCTGATGGGGGCGGGTAGCGGCCGGTACCTGCAGGACCACCTCGCTGGGCAGCTGCGCGGCGCGGAACAGCTCCAGCACCCGCCCGTTGGGCGCCACCTTCTTGGTGCTCTCGGTGTCGCAGTAGGAGAAGAGGTCGCAGTAATAGCGCCTGCTCCGCCTCGCTCAGCGTCAGGCCCTCCATCGCGCCGCCCGCCGGGGGGGAGGTGAATCCCGCGAGCCGCTTCCTCTCGGGCCTCGCGGGCGCCGCTGTCCCTGCGAGGCCCGGCCGCTGCGCTCGCGCTGTGGGGGCCGCACCGGAAGCGCGGGGCCCGCGGGGTGGGCGTGGCTATAAAGTTTCTCGGCCTCGGCCCCGCCTCCTCCCCAGCGAAGCCGCCGCCATTTACTGAGCCCCGGAGACTGGGGGGAAGGAGGCGGCTGAGCAAAACACGCCTCTTCCCCAGACCCGGATGTGAGGCCAGGCCCGCACCCTTCGTCTGCCGGAGGCGGCAGGACAGAGGCGCCTGCAGCGTCCCCTGCCGCCGTGGCGGGCTGAAGCTTGGCGCCCGCCCCGGTGCCTGGGCTGCTCCCCGGTGCCTCCTAGGGCAGGATCGAGGCAGGTCAGGCGCGTTTAGCGGCGGCTGAGTTGTGTGGCTCGCGGTGATGATCCCTGTTTTAGGCATCGGTTTTAAGCATAACTGATTTTTAAGGAACCAAAATCAGGGCTGCTTGAGGGGAGGGATAGCTCAGTGGTTTGAGCATTGGTCAGCTAAACCTAGCATTGTGAGGTTTCAGAGTAGCAGCCGTGTTAGTCTGTATCCGCAAAAAGAAGAACAGGAGTACTTGTGGCACCTTAGAGACTAACACATTTATTAGAGCATAAGCTTTCGTGGACTACAGCCCACTTCTTCGGATGCATTGTGAGTTCAGCCCTTAAGGGGGCCACTTAGGGATCTGGGGCAAAATCAATACTTGGTTCTGCTAGTGGAGGCAGGCGGGGTGGACTCAATGACCTTTCAGGGTCTCTTCCAGTTCTATATCTCCATATATTATATTATCCCTGGACCAACCATCCCTTCTTTCAATGACTTGTCCCATAAGTAAGGGGTTGGGGGCTGAATCAAACCTTTGCAGAGCAGCACTAAGCAAGGTAACTATTGATCACAGGTGAGGGAACTGGGGGTGCTGCTGCACCCCCTGGCTTGCAGTGGTGTCCATCATAAACAGGGTTTAGAGTTTGGTTGAATAGCTCTCAGCACCCCCACTATACAAATTGTTCTGGCGCCCCTGCTATTGATTAAACCTTGCGCTGAGCATGAATTCAGCCTGAAGAGCCCGTGTCTGTTAATCAAAACTAAGCACAAAACTAAAAAAACCCAACCAGAAAAAAAAGATCAAAGTCAGAAAATCATTATGGGAGTGCCAAGTCTAGGGACCACTGATGGAAGGAAGGAGGTGTGCAGCATTCTTTTTCTGTCCAGACCTCTTAGGATCCTACAGACAAGTTATTCATCTATCAAACATAATTTTCTTAAAAAAGGAGTATTGGACAACTTAATGGGAAACTAGAATTGCATTTGTCCACTGGTACCAAATATAACAAGTATGTTGTAATGTTTTATTCATTTAAAGGGATTGTTGATTAAAACCTTGCAGTCTGAAGTACCTTCCCACTGCTGTGAAGAGTAAATCAATGTGGGTTTCAAACAGCCAGTTGTACATGCTGAGGCTTACTTCTGAAAATATAACTGACATATTATATATTAATTTTCTAAATTCCTTTTGCACACATAACACTGTGGAACAGATTTTACAAACTCTGCCAAGTGCACCTGTCTACTATAACTCATCAGGGCTACAGAAACTTCATTTGTCCTTGGCCTTCCATGGAAAGACTAGTGGGTTAAGACTAGAGATGTGCAGAAAAGGTTTAGAAAAATTCCAGCAGCTCTGAATAAAGAGCTGGACTTTTGCTACTACTGATCCTTCCAAAAAGAAGGAGCAGTAGGTAGCAGAAAATTTTATTCCCAGATGAAAAAGCATTGTGATCATGCTGTCAAGTTTTTGTGAATCAAACGAGCCCTTTTCCTAGTTTTCAAAAAATCCTGGACTCCTGTCAAAGGCATTTGTGTAAAATAAAAGTCTTTGGATAAAATCCAGTCACTTTACAGATATTTGCTGTCCCTACATCCGTAAAATCTTCATATATCATTTATGTATTGATGTATTACCCTACATAATTCCTTTCCATCTTTGATATTTACATCCTTCAAATCTTTGTAGACCCACCCTTCCGATCCCCCTGTCTTTGTGGGCACTTAGCTAAATTATATCCACTTAACTCTTCATTTTTCCTCATATATAATGTTTTAATCAAAGCAGAAAAAATCAACAGATCTCTATGCATACTTATTGAGGAAGATCTTGCATTCCTGTAATGAAAAAATCAGGATGCACAATGGGTGTTTATATATGACCACTATATTTTAAAATATTTCAGGGTCCAAAACCCTAGGTAACTAAGGCCCTAATCTTACAAACTCTGAAGCACATGCATAATTTTAAACACATCAGTATAACCATTGAAGTTAAAGGGAATACTGTCACAGTTGGGCACATTTTTAAACTTGGGATCTAAATATGTAAACTACAGTTATTTCTGTAACACTTGTGTAATCTTGGAAGAAGGGTAATTGGTTTATTTGTTGAGAAAGTAGTAAGAAAAGTTATAACATAATTTTGTAAGTGGTGTTCTAAACAAGAATTGGCGATTTTGTTGATTTTTTCTATCAAAGTCCAAATATGTCTTTCACACTTGGTTGCTGTGACTGCCTGTCTCTGAATCAAGGTGGGAGGGAAAGAGGAGGTTCTACTTTTATCTTAGCTTACTATTTAGAAGGCCTTGTTTATGTGATTATCAAGTCCCAACCACCCCCTACTCTCTCCAGCCTCCCGTATATCCACCTCCGCCTAGATAGAGAAAAAGTTACATTCTTAGGAAAACACCATTGTGAAATTAGACTAGTTTAAAAAAATCATAGTATGACTGGAATCATCTCAAGGTCTTTAAGGTGGCAAATAGAAATAAAAAGGGGGACTAGAAAATACATTTAAGAGCTGAAGGAGTAAGTCACCTGATTTTCTTTCAGGACTTAGTATTTAGCACAGAGTACTTAGTATGTTCCTGAGTACAATAAAGCAATAAGTGGTTTTCCTCTAAAAATTGTGCAAAACTTGCACCTTCTTACTCAACAGATATATTTCCTGAATTCATTTGCATTTAGAATTATACCAGCTAAATGAATGGACAAAAAAATGTTGATTACTTTTTATACTTGTTGGTACTGGAGAGCCAACAGAGTTATGGGAAAATTAACTGGATTCCATTCTGACTCCCAAATCATTAACAGAATTGTTATACAAGTTCCAACTCTGGGGCTAAATTCTGCCATCAGTTACACCTGTGCAACCCATTTGTCATTTGGCGACAGTGAGGTTGTACCTGTATAATTGTGGGCAAAATTTGGTATACAAAATCTTCATTATTAGTGCTAATTCATGAACCAGAAAAGAAAAAAACAGCTAGATGTTTGTATCTCAGCTTGAGTTTATAGAGTGGAGTTAGCAAAACAATATTATTTGACATGTAAATTGCACAGATTTGATGTGGAAGTCATCAACATTCAACTAGAACCCCCTAGAGCTATTTGTACAGTCAGTTTTCAGAACTGAATCCTCTTAAAGGCTAGTATTACCTAACAAATGTTGCATGTTGAAAGCTGATTTGAAAACCGTGCATAGCATTTGTTTTGTCAAAAAAGTAGATCTTTATATAGAACCTGATGTTCATATCCTGAATGTCTTACTCAATTGGCTACGATGAGAGTTTTGCCTGATTGACAACTGAATAAGGCTTCAGGATATAGCTCCTAAAGTATGAAAGTTTCTTTTGACCTATGAGAGTAGATATTTCAGCTGCTGGGATTTACTTTTACCATCTACTGAAACATCTGTGAAAAGGCATTGCCACATGAGGCTCCAAAGGAAGAGCAAGCTAGAAAAAAACTACAAATACACCTCTAGCCCGATATAACGCTGTCCTCAGGAGCCAAAAAAATCTTACTGCGTTATAGGTGAAACCACGTTATATCGAACTTGCTTTGAGCCACCGGAGCGCACAGCCCCACTCCCCCGAAGCGCTGCTATACCATGTTATATCCGAATTCGTGTTATATCGGGTCACATTATATTGGGGTAGAGGTGTATCAAGTTATAATGTTTAGGTTTCTTATGCATTCTGGGTCAGGCCGTCAGCTGGAGTAAACTGGCATGACTCCACAGACTTCAATAGAACTATGCCAGTTTATCCCAGCTGTGGGTCTGACACATAATATTTAGTTATACTGAAGTTATACATGTTAAGTCTCAAATATATACTCTAGTTCTAATATCTAAAAGCTTCTGAAGAAAATTCTGCAAGGGAAATGACCTGTGCAAGATAAGGACCAAATTCTGCTATCAGTTACATCAGTGTGAAACTAGAGTAACTTCATTGAAATCAAAGGAGTAAATTTTGATCTACATTGGTGTAACTGGGACCAGAATTTGGTACTAAGATATAGCAGTGTCTTCAGTGCACTGCCAGACCTATTCCTTCAAGGCATGTCCATTGTCTTACTACAACAGTAAGATGTACACTGTATATCCAGAAATTAAATGTTCTTTTGTATGCCCTAAGCCACTTAAGAGGGCAAATGACTTATTTTCCTGTTATGGTGTAAATAATTTTGGAAGCAAAACTACTATTAGAGCTTCCTCTTGAACCTGAGCTATATAATAGAGATTAATGACAATTGTGTCTTTGTAGTGTAAAGCAAAGTGGTTATTGTTTAAAGTGTAATTACTATTGAATCAGTACTGAAATATAAAATACAATGTTCTAAATTCAATTTCTTCACTTTTTAAAACACCCTGTTCTATTCCAATTGTGTGGAAGTTCAGAGGGATTGTATTCAATATGATGGGTACAGACTTAACTGCTAATTCTACATAGCGCCAAGGGTCTCTGAATTAAAGAGGCTTCTGTATAATTGTTGCCAGGTGATTCAGTACATTGTATGCCTTCTGAGAAAAGGGACAGAGTTCATAATGCTCAAAATCGTTCATATTTGTCATAAGATGAGCATATTAGAAATATATACACACACACAAGACAGATGGATAAATATACACACACAGAGGAAGACATAAAAACTGGAATTTATATAAACATTTAAGTATATCACTAACAGGATCTAATTAGCTACCAGAGAAAACTGCTCTTCTCTTGACATCTTCCATTCCTACTCTGACTCCTCATGGTGAGTTTATTGCAGAGTAAACTGGTTCACCCATGACGCAGTCCTTAATCTTCTCAAAGACCCTCC